ATTATCCATAACATATAGTTTTTCTTTAATATATCATAGTGGGTATTAGTAAGAAAAAAACGACCGTTTTAAAGGTAAAAATCAAGATTTGTTTGTCCACTATTTGCGTAATTTTAACAATCAAAATATAAACCATTGTACTCTGTGGTTTGATGCCATCTGGAAGTCAGCTGTATAATTCCTTGATGATACCATTCTTTGAGTTTTGAATCGAAGAATTCGTGAATCCCAACCTCAACCTCATTCAACTTGGTGAAATTTTTCCACGAAGGAAAAGAACCATTGACCTGAAGAGGTGGTACTCTGATGGTGCTAGGTCTGGACTATATGCTGGCTGAGGGAGAAGCTCCATTCCATCCAAATCAGCTAGTTTTCTTTTGTATGGTGGAAGGAATGGGGCCTGGCGTTGTCTTTTTGAAACAAGACTTGTTCCCTGTTGATCACAAAATAGAATCATATTATTAACATCCGCCTAAAACTTCGTAAATTTCTTCATCGCATCTTAACCTACAAATATTTTATTTACGAAAATTCTCGGAATTGGGGCTCTGGGAATTTTCAATCTGGAGATAGGCTAATTTTGTCTATTTAATTAGGTACTAAAAACTCATGGATTCCCATTTTCTTTCCACTTGAATTGTAACATAATATGATCAAAAAGTCGAAAAAAAGGGTGCTTACAAAAATATTGGTCCTTTTGACGTGACCTCCAATTTCAAACTGTCAAAATAACGAGGTCATGTAGGCCATTTTTTTTTCCTATTTTGTTATCATAATATCTTACGATTCAAGTGGAAAACAAATGGGTATTCATTAGTTTTAAGTACCTGATTAAATAGACAAACCTCGCCGATCTCCAGATTGAAACCACCCCTGGAATTGAAAATTCCGGGAATTTTCGTAAATACAATATTTGTAGGTTTCGGTAAGATGAAGCTATGCATGAAGTTGTAGGCGGATGTTAATAATTTTATAAAAAGAAGCCTGTACCACGTAGTATAAGTTTCGATTGGAAATCACGTGTTCGTCACAAATAAATACAAATAAAATTTATAAGGCCTTAATTAGGTCAACATAAGTTTTATTTAGAGTGAAAATTTATTTTTTAAGAATTTTAAAATAATAATTCCAAACAACTAAGCATAATATTAATAAAAATAAAAACTTATTTTTCTCCCAACCCCTCCATTTCCGAAACACGGAGTTACAGCAGTAGCGGGTTAATACGTTGGGTATACGTACGCCCACTACTGCCAATAAATACTTTATTATCAATATTTCTTATTAAACAACAATAGAGAATATTTTAATGATGGGAACTATGTACCAGGTTCAACTGTGGTGCGGCCCGGAATAAAAATAAAACCAGTATGGAAATATTCAAATTAATTTCATCTATTTCACTAGCGTTAGAACCAACATTATTAGAAAGCTCAATCGCTGGCTAAAGTCCCTCAGTATCGGTTTGCTAAATGGAATTAAAATATTTAAATTAAACTTTTATTTCATGCTTTTTTTTTTCTCTCCTACTCTACGTAGTCTGTAAATGTGCCCCTTCCCTACCCCCTCCCCCCTCAAAATTCCATAACTCCGTAAAAAATAGCTATCTCAAAAATTTTGATGGTGCTTTTTACGCCATGCAATCCACTTTCTGGGTACCCCTGCTATAACATATCCTGTATTTTACGCTCGTTAGTTTTAACAAACCATGCAGAAAAACATTATTCAGTTTCTCTGTTTCCTTTTGAGTAATAAGTATTTTACTCAAATACTGACCTTTTTATGCTACCAAAGAATTTAATTACTACTTCAGTTGATGTCAAACGATTAACTGAAGTAGTTATTGAATTCCCAATAGTATTTAAATTTGATTAAAATACTTGGTACTCGGTACTCAGAGTAGCGTTTGTCCACCTCTGCTTTGAAACCTGGAGAAGACTGATGGTTCTTATCAGGTCTAGAAAATATGCTTCAGCTATGACACATTTCTTTGAAAAATATAATAAAATTATTTCTGAGCGTTTTTCCAACGCTCATTTTTTTTTTAAATGTAAATAGGGCTCCATTGTCTTTCAAACCTATACAAGTTTTATTATGTAATCCATAACTTTTTCATCAGATTACAAAAAAAAATGAGCCCAGAACTTATTTACGTTTTCTGAAACAATTTTTAAAGAATAGTATTCAGAGCAAAGATACGAAAAAACGATTTGGTGATTATTTCTCGAAAGAATATAACAAATTGTAAAAAAAAAACGAAAAAAAAAATTTTAGCGGCAGGGCACCAGGAAGGATATTTTATAGACTACATAAATGTTTATTTATTTCAAAAGTTTAGTAATAGCCATTTTTTAAATGCTATTGTAACCAATATTAAAGTGGATTAACTTAGAATTAATCCAGTGAAAAAGAAAGGTAGTTAACTGAATTATCAAAAGCAGTCTTTAAGAATAACAAAAAAAGGCACTGATTTGAACTATAAATAAAGTAGTGCAGGAGCTATTTGTCAACACTGGTGGGACTGAATGCCTGCTCGCCCAAACCCCTCGAACGCTTCTGTACCCCACAGTGAGTTTTTTAAATGAACTTTTAAATTTTATACAAGGAAACTTTTTAGGTCACCAATTACACTTGGCAACTAAGAAAATGTTTCGCTCTCAAAAATAGTCAATCCATATGTATTTCCATCTGCAGTCAGGATTGTCAATGAAGAAAAGAAGAACAGTTCAGTACCCGAATCTGCTATTCGAAACATTCTGCATTCAGGTAGTTTACCAGTTCCTACTCCACCAAATAGTATGTTTGTAGTAGTGAATGAAGACAGAGTGGAAATAGAAGAAGAACCAAACAAGCCTTCCACATCTCGTGACCCTGATTTTGAGGGAAAACATGATAAACCGCACAGACTGTGTCAGGCGGAATTGAGTGATCTCATTAGAGAACTTGGCCTGTCAAAGGGGAAGTCAGAAATTCTTGGGTATCGAATACAGCAGTGGAATCTTCTCGAAAATGATGACAAAATAAAAATAATCTTGTTGCTTGCTGCGACATTAATGGCTTGATGAAATCTTTGAATTTGAACCATGATCCAACTGAATGGAGGCATTCATAGACTAATCCAAAAGTTTGAAAGCTGTGTTACTTCACAATGGTTATCTTCTTTCTTCTATTCCTGTTGGCTATGCAGTTCACATGAATAAGACGTATGCAAATATGATAGCCCACTTGGACTCACTCAAATATCATGAACACAAAAGGAAAATCTGTGGCAATCTAAAAGTCATTGCCGTACTCTTAGGAATGCAACTGGGGTACACAAAACATTACTGCTTCTTATGTATGAGGGACAGTAAAGATAGGAAATTGTATTATATAAAGACAATTTGCAGGAGACTGTCCTGCAAGAAATCTTAACCCTATCGAGTAAGATGTCGTTGCCAAGCCTCTCGTGATCTAAAAGATATTCTACTTCCATGCCTTTGGGTTTGATAAAAAAAATTTGCCTAAGGTATAAACCAAGAAGGACTGGCCTTTAACTACATTAGAGAGAAATTTCCGAAATTAAGTGATGCATAAGTAAAGGAAGACATTTTCTTCGGGACACAAATTCGAGTACTTTTGAAGGATCTTGAAGGTACTTGACTAAGCCTTCAAGGGAGTTGTTCGTGGATTTTTAGGCAAAAAAAGAGATGACAACTACACGCATTTGGTGATAGTGTTCCTGCTAAAGTACCGTAACCTTGGATGCAACATAAAATTCATCTTTTCAACTCCCACCTAGACCTTTTTCCTCCCAGTTGTGGAGCTGTTAGTGATGTACATGGATTCCATCAGGACATATCTGTTATGGAACAAAGATATCAGGGCCATTGGAATGAAGCGATGCTTGCAGATTACTGTTGGTCTTTGTGTAGGGATGCTCCGGAACTGCCTTACAGGAGGCAAGTCTTTTTTTGTCTTTTTTTGTCTAAAAGACGACGATTCCCATGAAACCACCACATAATCTCTTCAGACACGATCATCTGCGAGGTATTCTTTCAGCAATTTAGAACTCTTAGAATGTAACTAACATTTTGAAACATCAAATGCACTTTCAATGTTGTTAGTATATATAATTAAAATGTTTCTTTTCTCTTAACCCGTTAAAATGAAATACTTCCACACAGTGTGTATCACAGAAACAAGAGCTAAGAAAAATTTGTCATGGTCATATTCGTTTTTCTCAACCCATAATTAGTAGGAATTGACTCATGCAGTGCTGAAAACATTCAAAAATTTGTTTTTTGTGGCCCAGTGTTATTTAAATTACATTTCCCATATTTTGAAAGATATATTTGTCCTCCTAAATCAGCGATCGATCACGGTTTGGGACGGTGTGGCAGAGTACGTCGAGGCGTGGTTTTGAACGTTGTGGGTTCAATTCTTTCTTGGGTCGGTTAATATTTATTTCTCGGCGGCTCCAGAAATTGAATCTGGACATTCCCACTCTGGTGAATTGGTGGCGGCAACATCAAGGTAGGTAGCCGCCATGAGGACCACTTGCCGGACTAGCTTCTTCCATCAGTAACAATACTCTGTTTTTAATTTGTTATCTAAATAACTTGTAACTCCTACAGTTTTCTATAGCTTTAGTATCTTGCCTAACCCTTAACGTTGGCTTAATAAAATATTTTTTTCTTGATGACCGGCGCCCCGGAACGTCTCCTCGACATATATTTAAGATGAACTAACCAACATCAAAAAATGAAAGTTAAATAAAGGAATGAGTATAAGAAACATGGGAATCATTCACAAGATAAAGTTTGTAAGCATGTAAAGTTCAAGTGCATTTAATATAATATATTATATTAATCATTCTATGTGTAATGAATATATTATTAAAGCTTACCTGATTTTTAGTAGTAACCAGGAGCATAATTACGAAAGTCATCATTAACGTTAAAACTCCCAAGCTATTCGTCCAAACTTAATAATTACACCGGCTGGGAGCCGGCTGCTAATTACTTATTTCGGTTTGCGCAGAACAGAAGGAAATGTGGTCTCATGACGAGCAGGCCATCAAACATCTGCTGTGTCACGATCCTTCTATAAAGCAGAAGGGTACAAACAGTTTTAAGTTCATAGAACTGAATTATGCTTCAAAGTCATTTTTAAGTAAACCTAACAAGATTTGTTTAACTAGTAGGCTACCTCTAAGTGATCGTGTCTGTGAAATAGTAGTGCTTCTAAAAAAACAAGTTAAGGTCATGGGAATCACACATCACTGATTCTATAACATTGTTCGCAATACGCCACCTACTAAAATGACAACAGAGGCGTGATTTTATCGCATCCAAGTTATTAACTAATTTATTACACCTTGGATAGCCATTAAGGTGTACTAAAACGGCCACATGTTTCGCCAACAGTACCAAATGGTATACATATACAATTACCTATCACTCGTAGTACAGAAGTAGCTAACGTAACCATGGCGCAGAATAATAAAAAAAATTGACATTTATTTATAAAGCGTTATTACATTCTGTCATAATTAAAAAAAACTGATAATAATTAAGATGATATTTTTTCAAGATAATGATTTTATTCAATTTAAGAACAAAAATAAAATACAATATAAAGTTATACAAATATGTAAGTCCCCTTTTGAAAAATAAGTTTTAGTTGAAACCTTTTCCGGATACGAGACATTAGAGCAGACTTCTGGAGGCGAGGGGGGCGATCACTCCCTCCCCATCTCCTCCCTAATAAAGAGAAGCTGAGAATATCTCCCTCCCCCCCCCCAAATTTCGAGGTACAAAATTAAAATAAAAAGCAACAATTAATCAACTTAAATGAATAAAATTTGTAAACCAAAATCAATTATAGCAATTATAACAATAATAATAGTAATCAACTATCAAGTATAGTAGCAATCAAGTATAGCAATATCAAGTATAATAATAGTAACCAATTATAGCAAAATGGCGATATTGCCAGTGATACGATATAGAAGGTAATATGTTTGAAAACGTAGAGAAGTTTAGGTATCTAAGCTCTTCGATAACTATAAAAAATGAAATTGAAGACGAGATTAAGGTTAGGCTGAAGGGGGAAAATGCTTGTTATTTTTTGATGAAAAAACTACTTAGCTCGCGCCTCTTGTCCCACAACTTAAAAACTAGAATCTATAAAACCATTATCTTACCTAGTTGCCTAGTTCTTTGTGGATGAAAAACGTAGCGCTTACATTAAGGGATGAGCAACGTCTTAAGGTTTTTGAAAATAAACTATTGCGTAGAATATTCGGACCGAAGAAGGATGAGTCAACCGGAGAGTTCAGGCGGTTACACAATGCCGAATTGCGTGAACAATATCCGGTTAATATAATTGAGATGATTAAATTGAGGAGAATAAAATGGCCATGTAAAATCGCTGGGCTTAGTAACGAAAGAATTCCTAAAAAATTAATACGAGTATGCGCTTTACCGACTGGCAAGCGTTCGAGGACAAGGGTAAGAGAAGAGGAGAGGAGAAAAAAGCGAAAATGGGAAGATTGCGTTACGGATGATTTGGCGGGGTTGGCTTTGGACAGAGCGCGGTGGATGGAAGAATGTGGATTGGTGGTATCGGCACCGAGCCTTCGGGTTCGTTAAGACTTATTATTATTATTAAACTTTATAACATACATAGTTATTTTTCCTTTATTATAAAATTCAACAAATAATCCAGACAACTGACCTTATTTTATAATAATTTCGGAATGCATTCCCAATTATCTACGCGTATTTTCATTATTGATCTTTGTACCAGTGATTACTTTCTATTAGTTTCGCATTATAAATTAGACAGTGCAGATCTCAGAAATATGCTTTCATATGCATCACCTATATTACTTTGTCCTTTCCTTAGTTAGCACAAATAGAAAAAAAAAGAACAGGATTTGATCCCCATCCAGCTCGTTAGTTGTTGATTTTGGGTCATTTTGATTCCAGATTCGCCCTTACGCTCTGGGTATTCCCGCACTTCTGGATTTTCCTCGTTGGAGGGGGCATCAAAACCGCGGAGACCCCAACGACTATATCAGTTCGCCTGGGTCGTGAACTGATGCTGGTTCCGGTCCTTGAACAATCTCTGCCACGGTGAGTACCAAACGTGTTTCAATATACTTTATATTTAAAATATTTGTTTGCGCTTTTTGATTGTTTTCACATTAAGCCAGTCATTAAAATGAGTTATTGTTATGAGGCAATGTCATTTTATTACGAAAAAGATTATCTAAAATAAAGTTTACTTTTATTGAGGAGTTGAGGGAGCGAAAAGCCAATTTTTTTGACGGACGCGTAACGGGTTAAAATTGATTTGATGAAAGTGGTTGGGATTTAATTCTAATAACGAATTTATACTAAAAATGCATTAGCAACTGTACCAAAAATGATCGATCTAATAAAACCGTCTGTCGTATCGTTTGAATAAAAATGTTAAAAAAGCTTTTGAAAAATTATTCTTTTAAAAATACTTAAGAAAATCAAATTTCATTACATTCCTTGAAAAAAAAGAAAACCGCCGGTAGCATTTAATGATTAGGTTCTGTTTTTGAAAAAAAAAATAGTTGCACCGTATGATCCATTCGTTATTTTACATGGAAATAGATAATTATCTTGATTTACCCCAAAAAATCTATTAGGGTTAAAATTGGAAATAAGTGACTCAACTATTTGAGCACAAATTTAAGTATTTAATTTGATTGGTAAATGGAAGCTGTGGAAGTTGTACATGAAAGAGAGAGAAGGAAGAAAAAATTAATAGAATATGGGTATAAAAGAAAAAAACTAGAAATGATTTACGCGTGGTCCATCGTTGGCCTTTATGGCGATAAATATATTACATATGTAAATAAAATTAAAATTTCAATATTTCTTTTATTTATGAAATAACTTTAATGGCTCTGCTTGTAATAATGAATTTACCAAAAAATTAATTATTGGGACTCAATTTGAGTTAGCTTTGACCCATTTCTTCAGTAAAAATATTACGGTGTTTAAATGACTTTATAACCCGGTAGCCGGTAAAATCTGTTACCCGGCTCAGTACTACTCATAAACCAGGTTCAGTCTGGACATCTTTGTCCCAAAGGTTCAGTGGTTATTCGGAGCGACTAGAGTTTAGAATACAACATTTCTCATTTCTATTGTATTTGTCACTTTTTATTGTTTTTTATTAATCTTAATTTGGCTATGGTTTTATTCATATCTTTTAGTTTTTCGTGGCGCCCCAAGTCATTGTATTCGTTTTAATAAATCTAAAACACTTTTTTATATTAATTTTAGTCAGCGAAACATTAAGAGATTTTTAAATGATGAACTACATGTAATAATGTTTAAATCTATTTGTTCGACTTCGGTACTGGATGAAGAACTTCGGAGCCTACTAAGTACTATGGTACCCTCTAGCAATTTTAATGTAAAATAAACAACCATGAAAATAAAATGTAATTTGTTGATAACAGAAAAAGAAATCCTAGGCATGTTTGCAATAAATAGAAACGCCATGTTTATTATAAGTGAATGAATTGTCGTTATAACTTGATACCTGAAGTATGTATTTACTGATCGACTGGCCTTCCCACTAGTCATACACTATTTATATACGAAACAGAAAAGAAACTGTAATTATTATTTTTAGATGTGATATATTATGCTCATTAATATAGCACATCTCTGGTGCCCAAACATTCGTTAAGAAGAGTATTTATCGAACTGTAACCGATTGAATTTATACACAGCTTTACTTTTTATGTTATCTTCGCTGCAGTTTATAAATATAGCCATTGTAGTTCTTTAGTCATCTTTAACACATCATAGATTTTCTACTTTGCAGTTTGCCCTACTGAATAAATAAAATTCGAAAACAATACTTCTATATTGAAGAATTGTTTAGTAAAATTTGATAAAAAATCATATAAATGGTTTTCGAACCCCCCGGGGTATCGGTGGGAAGTACGAAACATCACTTTTATTTATTGTAGTCAATAAAACTTCCACAATAGTATAACTATTGAAATAATTCATACTTTTGAGCTCTGTCAATTTTTTTGTAATAATAATAATAATAATACTTTATTTATTCTGGGACGAGTCCCTTTAGAATAATACAGAAAGATATAAATATGGGCGAAGGAGCCTCAGAGATACATAAATAAAGATACAGAGTAATAATACAGTCATAGTAATAAAATTAAAAATTATAAGTTACATTCTAATTTTAATCAGTTAATAATTAAAATTAAATAAAAAGGATGAAGTAAAAATAATGAAGAACGAGCTTATAATTTATATACATATTTATATTAGTATCTATTTACAATTTCATGGGGACTGGATTGATAAGAAATGATTGAACAGACGGGATTTAAAGATAGGAAGGGTATTAGATTGTCGAATGTGAGAAGGGATGGAGTTCCAAAGGGATGAGGATCGGATAATGAAAGATCTGTCGAAAGCAGCGGTTCGGTGGGCCCATATATAAAGTCAGAAGACCGGGAACAAGTATTACGGGAACGAACAGAGGATTTAAATTGAAGCAGCTCAGAGATGTATGAAGGACGGTGTGATTGGATAACTTGAAAGAGGAAGGATGCCATGAAATATTTACGACGGTAGGAAGGATAAAGCCACTTCAACTCTGCATAAAAATGAAGTAAGTCTTAAATTAACCCTCCCCGGACCCGAAATAGCCTAGGTACTCCAGAACTAAAATAAAAGGAAGGGAATGAGACCTTGCAACTGCAGAGATGAAGAATAAACGCTATAACCTTGCTGGAGCCGGTCATCAAAGAATCTGTAATGATAAGCTGTGGTGAGTCCAGTCATTACAAAAATTTCACTGTTATAGGTTAATCAGAGAAAATCTTATAGATAAATACATCAAAGAAGCATAAGTATAAGATCCTGAGGAATATTTGGGATGAGGAACTGAAAGAAGCCTTTAACAATGAGGTCTGAACAGGGGTGCCCATCTCTCCCAAGATCCACAGCACAAAAACCTATTCCCTCCTCCCAAGATATTTTATTGCTCACTTTTCTTAAAAACAGAGCAAGCTAAGGTAGAATTAGAAAAATCATAGATCATAAACAATTACACTTGCTGCACTGTTCCATGTTTTCCCCTTGTTCCTTAGTCCGAAAATTAATGACCCTATCGAAATTTATTCCCCTCAAAAATTCAAAAACCCATCAAAATATGCCCACCTCAAAAATTTGAAGGCACAACTTGGGTCACGAAACCCCCTTCTTGGCACCCTGGGTCTGAAGTCACTCTATTATAACATCTTGCATCAAACATAATGTTCAACTATTCTAATAAAAGCAATATTTTGTAATATTTTCTTTTTAATTGAAGAGAAGATATCTGAGGAAGAAAAAAAATAATTTTTATCTATAAGCATTTAGTTTATAAATAGAGAACCTGAACCAAATATTGTAACTATTTATTTTTATATCTGCGACTTTTCATAATTTTAAATTTAGCACGTACAATTTTAAATTTTTCAGATGACCTCCATAAACCTAACAGCCAGTCTCCTAATAATCGGAAGTTCACTCATCTCAGTTCTTTGCGACGTAAGTAGGGATTGGAGTTCATTTTAACAATATAATTTAACATTCTTACTTTGGATGTTTAAAGTAAACAATAGAAAACTAACTACCGAATAAAAATATAGATTAACCAAAACCACCATTCATTTTTATTTTTATTTTAGGTTCCAGCTCCAATAATAAAATCTCTGAAGGTTAACTGTGATATAAAATATAAATATGCCACAACTTTGGTCTCAAGTCGTATATTAAATCCAGCAAATGTTTCTCAAGAGGTTCATTTTAGAGTTACTCTACCTGAAGAAGCATTTATAACTCGTTTTGTATTGTGAGTAGTAAAATTTGATTTTTATAATTTTTTTTTTCCTTTTTATCTTACAGTCAAATAGGAAACATATGTCAAATTATGGAGTTTGGCCATTTCCTGGGAATTGTTTATATGATTAAATGATTCATTATAAAGTATTGGTACTGATGCTAGTATGGTATATGGCCTTTTTGTAATATTTGTCAACCCCTGATAACAAACTTTTCAGAAGAAACATCTCATATTAACAGCTAAAAAATAATAGTCAAATAGACATAGTACATAACTCCAAATCAATTAACATGAGACTTATTTATGTGGATTTGTTACTGTTGGACTTTATTAAATTATAATTATTGTTAAGTTTGTAAGAATTGTTATTTTAAGATAATTATTTACAACAGTGCTTTTTTTCAGACTGTTGATGTATGACATACTTTCCCTGAATGTATTGCAGTGATCTCATGTTTTTCAGTCCTCATGATGATTTAATTAACAAAACATTGCTAAGATATTAATTGTCATATGAGAGAATCAAAGCTTTGTTTTGAAATCTTCCAATAATATCCTAATTTGTAACATTTTTGTTCAAATTTTAAATCCATTTTTTTCTTATTTATAAATGTAATCAATTTGTGCCAACAACCGAACTGAGCTTACACAAGAAAAAAATTAAATTAAGTATATTGATAAAGAACCTAATTTAAATGGTCTTATACCACTAACAGAGATATTCATAAGAATCAAAACTGCAAAATACATATTTGACATACTATTGGACTGATATCAGAGATGGGCAAAATCAGAATCAATGATTACATGATTACAACTGAAAATAAAACTTAATGACCATGCCAATTTTATACTTGACTCAATATAGCAAAAATATGACATTAGTAATCGGTAACTAGTTTACAGTAATCAAGATGTAATCAAGATCACTGTAATCGTAATCAAGTAATCATGATTACTGTAATTATAATCGTAGATTATAATCATTTCCATCTATGACAGATATAGATCTTTCAGTAATAACCAAAAACAATAGGATATTGGGTTTATGAAAAAAAATATAGATTATGTTTAATTGATATGATCTGTCTATAAATGAATCTAAAATATACAGCAATAGTTCCACATTTTCCACTTCCTTATTAATTAAAGATAAACTTTAAAAAAAAAATAAATTAAATACGATACTTTCCTTTTACTATTAACATTAAAATATTTGTTCATATAGGGTGATCAAAGGAGAGCCATACGAAGCTTACATTAAGGAAAAAGATGAAGCTAAAAAGGATTATGATGCAGCCGTTAGTGCTGGTCAAAGTGCTGGACATATTTTTCAAACAAGGTTAGTAAATGTTTTTAGATAGTCCTTATTTTTTATTAAAACTTACTCTCCAACATTGCCAACTTGCCACTAATAAAACACAGTATTCTGGCAAAATAGGATTTTGTTTAGAATCTTAATGCCATAAAAAAAAAACACGATAGTGTTCAGATTCTTAATATCATCTAAAATTCACCTTCACGCCACAGGCGGATCTATGAGGAGAAGGGGAGGGGGGCTTTCGGGCTCAAGCCCCTAGCCAAAAAAAGGGGAAAATATAACTATGTTTAAACAAAAAAATTATCTCTAAAAGTATTATTGTTTGTCTAATTACATTTAATAGGACTTAAAGAATCATTTAAACACCATTTCATATAGGTAGTTAGTTTCTTTCCTTCTTCCGAAGTAGTTATCCTAATATATACATACAAAAAAAAATCTTTCGGATTTTTAACCACCCCCCAAAATTAAATCCTGGATCCGTTAGTGCTTCACGCTAATTTTAGCTTGCCAATACCATAACATTATATAAATGGAACCTTTCATTAACACGTCATTAACAAACAAAATTTATCTTAATGTACTACTTTAAGTAAACTATAGAGTATTTCAATTTTTTCTAAATCTTATTTGAGGTGTTTTTATTAAATCTTAAATTAAACTAAACAAATAATTTTATCATTCATAATCAAATAAAATTTTCTTATTCCATAGGCCTGTGAATTTACAGCTTCTATGAAAAATTTGCTGGTATTAATATATTGCACTAATGCTTGTCCCCTAAATTTGGATATTAATATATTATTAATCTTAAGCAAAAGCAAGGTTGCCACCTTTATTGTTATATTTATTTATGAACCAATCTCAGTTTTCTTAGTTTAATTTCCAAGAATGGTGCTTCTTTGTAACCCTTCGTCCTTAACAGAATAAAAAATTTGTTCAGAATCTTTTTCTTGAAGTAAATAGATAGTCTGTGGGTCTAAGATATATAGATTAAGATTGGTGTTATAAAGGTTTTATTAAATGTACAGGGTGATGTCTATTTGGCAAATACTTCACCATTTATTAGCTGTTGTAATTCTGAAGCTGATTTCTGCAGCTTTATTGATGCTCCGAGTAAGTTAAATTCTATGAACCTGAAAGGTACTAACTATTTCCAACAGTCACTATTTAATTGAGTGGTGTTACACCATCTCCAGAGAAAATGAATTTTATACAATATGAGGCACCTAGAAAGGCTTTCTCTGAGCATTCGTAGGACCTATTTATCAAATAGAAGTAACCAGCATACCCAAGCAGTTCAACCAATTTTGAAAATGCAGTACCAGTTGTCTTTATGTCTGATCCTCTAATCACCTTCTCTAAGGATAAATTGAAAACAGACATTGCCACTATGTCTCATTCCTTATTCGAAGAAAATTCTATAAAATAATCCGGTGGGGTAGGGTTCGAACCAGGCATATCATACCTTACGTCTCAAATTCAATCATTTGAATTAACTTTATTTGGATTCCAAATTTCTTTATTGACTCTTATAACTTAGGACAACACTATCATATACACATTTGAAGTTATTGATTAAGTAATCGATGATTAAGTATGAGTTGGCACTCTGTATTAATTTCATTTTTCAAAGATGGTTTGGGGGATAAAACTTTTGGTAGTAAATCTGTCTCTTCAATCGTAATATATCTCAAAGCTCAGTTGGTCTATCATTTTCAGTTTGATTTTAGTTCACTACTCTTTGGATCATGTCTTCGATCTATTAAAATTATGGTCACTCTACATTTTCATCTTCATTTATCAGCCCTCAAGTTTTCTCCACATATTCTTCTTCAGAAAATGTTTCTTGTTGAAGAGTGTCAAATCCTTCTAATAATCTTTGTAATTATTAAAATTGCAGTTCCCGCTTTTCTAAAGACTTCACTGTATCAGTGAACGTAGCAGCAGAAGAAAAAGCAGATTTTAATGTTACTTATGAGGAGCTTTTAACTAGGAAGAATGGTACCTATAAAACTGAAATTAATATTGAACCTCATCAGGTAATAATTGAATTTGTTTTACTATATTACAGTTTAAAATGCAGTTGAGTAATTTTAGATGTTTGTTCCAGATTGTCCCAGATCTCTCAATTGTTGTTAATATTGAGGATATTTTGCAAATAACAAATGTTAGAGTACCAAAATTTAAAATGTCAAATGAGATTGACCAAAGTGATGGAGGTATGGAAACCTACAGTGCTAATAATTCTAAGATTAATAGTCATTTTTTGAACTACTATTCATGCTATTGTTATTACTATTATTTTTACTATAGGTTAGTTCTTAGTTTAATTTGGAATAAATAATAATTAATTCATTATAATTTGTTTTTATTCAAGTGAAAATTTAAATTAAATAAATATAAATAGTTCATAATTGGGTGTTTACAAATAATAGACATTCCTTCTTATATTCAATGAAAAAGTCATTTTTAAACAAAAATTTATGTAACACATTATTATTAAACAAAGAATGTTTTTATGGCAACCACTCTTTTGAAATATTATTTTCATAAAATTATAGAAAACACAAATGCTAAGAAAGAAGAAATATCTCCTAATAAATTTCGAGTGGAATGGAATCCTTCAAAAAAAGAACAAAAAGAACTGAAACCAGAAGGCTTGAATGGACAAATGATAGTAGAGTATGATGTTGATGCATCCAACAAAACCCAACAAATTATGGTAATTAATATAATTACAGAGTATTTTATGAAAAAGAGTTTTAATTAATTATTTTATTGAAACATTTTATGGATGGATAATGAGGATTTAATGATTTTAGATTGATGAAGATGGATATTTTATCCATATGCTTAGGAATGATCTTCTGCCAGTATTGAGGAAACATGTTGTATTTGTTCTTGATGTTAGTGGGTCAATGTATGGTCATAAAATGGAACAAATGAAACAGGCCATGGATAAGATTTTATCTGATCTATCTGAAAAAGATTGCTTTAGCATTGTTTTGTTTTCTGACACAACTACTGTAAGTATTGAAAAAATTAATTAAGAATGTAATCTTTACTAATTTCGTAAGACTATATTTCATTTATTTTATAGGCTTGGAAAGAAAATGGTGCTGACATGGAGTTATTAAACTATTATTATGGCTACCCTGATGAGGAACGTAAGAGTTTTTCTGCAGGAGAAGAAAATGTTGTAACAGCTAATAAAGAAAATATAAAAAATGCTATTAATTTCACTAAAAGTCTCGGAACATATGGAGGTAAATATTTTATATAAACATAGGTATTAAGCTTTGTTTTTCTTCTATTTACCTAGAAACAATTTGACTTACATTGAAAATTTATAAGATTATTGATTAGCTTTGATTAAAATTCAATCTTCCCACAACAAGTCTATATGAGTCCTTTGGCTAAATAAGGTTAAAACAATACTTCTTAATGCAACATAATGAATTTCAACTAAGGATAAATTAATAACTAAACTCAATGAAAAATGTATATATTAAACAGATTGAATACATAGTTTGCACTTCTAAAATCAAGGAAACTCATTAAAAATGGCTGATTACAAGTTAAAAAATAAGTTTAAAGATAACCTTACCTCGCTAGAGTAAAGATAGAGAGGCAATACAAGATGCACATCTTATAAGCTGAAGGTTATTTATTTATTGGATGGTGTGAAATGGAAAGCAATATGCATCACACCTAAACAAGCATAGAACCCTAGGCCCTAAAATACTTCCTACTGATGCCCATTATGGTTAATTTTTAATTAATTAATATTAATCAAAAACCATTACACCTACTGATGCCTATGCTATCTTAACTATATTTAATTTGAATGTGAAGAGCCCTAAAGCTTATTTGGGACTAAATAATGGGACTAACACTGGTACTGCTACTCGTATTGGTTGGGTTAACATAAGTCCCTTTTTTGCCAACACTAGATGGCTATTTGGTGGTCGTTGTCATCTACTAACCAGATTAAGATTGTGAAGATTAATTTCTAGGGTCTTCCAAGAAATAACTATTAACTGTCCCAGATGAGAATCAAACCCACACCATTCCAAAGTAGGTCCTCTAGGAATTTCCAGTTATACTAGTTCAAGAAGCCACAGTGACTGAACATGTTAAAGCGTTGACTATTTTAACATTCTTGAGTATAGTGGCACCAGTTCGAATCAGAACTGTGTGGGTTAAAACTTATTACACAGTGCACCCACTAAAGGAATTTCAATCTCCACACTGTTAGGTAAGGGCCTTATAATCCACACTTCCCGATCTAATTGAAACAAAGGAATGCTAACAGAATTCAATTTTAATACAAAAACAAGCACAAAGTTATTGTTTTTCCTAATTGATCTATCATCTTTTAAAAAGTCATTAGCATGACTGTTTTTATTCCAATCAAGACCAAATAAAAAAAATTATATTATTAATGGTTTGTAACAGGTACCAATATTAATGGAGGATTGCGAGTTGGTATTGACATAGCTAAAATAGGTCAACAGAAATTCAAGAATGATGTTCATCCAGTCGAACCAATGATTATATTCTTGACTGATGGAGAACCTAATACTGAAGAGTCTGATCCTGACAAAATCATTGATAATGTTGGCAAACGTAATACAGAAAAGTAAGAAAGCAATTAATTATAATATTAGGTCTATTTATTAGGTCATTGTTTGCCAAATTAATTTATATTCATTTATATAGATTAAACAAATGTTATGCATATGTCTAATGTTTTTAGATATATTAGATGCAATATCGCTACTAAAAAGGCCATATGTAACAATTTTACATGTTTATTCTCTTTGCACTAAAGGTTACATTTTGTAGTCTAAAACTGCTATAAGTAGTCAGGTAAGTAGCAAAATATCAGATGGAAATAAAATATGAAATTATACTCTCAAATCATAAAGAAATAATTGGTTTCCTCTTCTGTAAAAAAAAACTCAATTTTTACAAACGACCTTTTGCACTAACAGTAGCTATGGTGCATGCAGTACATCTAAAAATATAAGAGATATGCATACTAAATGTGCTTGTGTATATTCAGGGTCAGATTAAGTGCCCCGAAAGATTATTGATAGAAAAATAAATATCTTATAAATAAGGACCTAAAATATCTTAGCTTGAAGATTTCGAAAATTACAGCATATGCTCAAAAATCTATATAAAATGATCAAATAATTCTAAAACAACAGGCAAAATTTATTTATTTGAATAAATATTTTATCTAACTTGCATTATTTAACTGTTAGTATGGTTATAAGCATGTGGTTGTACAGCTTTAAAAACAGAAAACTAGAACTGTATCTTGAGATTAACTAGTCTCATCTTACAACAATCTTTCATGCTATTACTGAAAATTTTGAATTGAATCAATGAATTTAAACTTTTTTTTTTTATTCTATAGGGTTACTATATTTTCACTTAGCTTTGGTTTTGATGCTGACCTCAACTTTTTGAAAAAGCTCTCATTAGCGAACAATGGATTCTCAAGGAGAATATACGAAGGTTCAGATGCAGCTTTGCAGCTCAACAACTTTTATAAAGAAGTTGCTTCCCCGGTTCTATCAGATGTCAAATTTGAATATCTTCCTGAAAAGGTAAGATCATAAGCAAAAAACTATAAGAATTTAACTTGGAATATTTATCATTGGAAAGTAAAAATTTTTCATACTATTCATGCAGAATTTTTAAATTGTAAATAAAATAATTTCATTTTGTAGTCTTATTTAAGAATATGATAGACAGTCTGATGTGGTATTTGAGTGGGTTTAACTTATTTTTATGTCGCTGATTTAGCCCGAGCCTGATACCTATCCTTTCATGATAAACTCCAGCCCCATCCAAATCCACTTGTTTTCAGCCTTGCTTCTTCCTCAATTCCTGATAATCCTCCTAGGCGTCTGAAAAGAAGATGGCCATGTGATCTTCTCACCTAGAATTAAATAGGGAGTTCTACCACAGGGCAGTATCTCTTCAAGTCTGTTCATGTCATTATTTCCAATGCATATGCATTTTTAATAGTTGTATTGTTTATAAAGTTGTAAAATTCATTAAATAAATAAAAAAATCAATAAAAAACTTAATTTTTAACAGTGCTAACTAACTTTCTATTATACAGTGCTTTCTCTAAATAGTATTGAACCCAAGACCCTTCATGGATTGTAGTGGTTCAGGTTTATTTTTATTTTTTATCTTTATTTTATTTTTTTAGTAGAAAAATCCTCTATACATACTGTAAATATAAATTCAAACTATTTTTTCCTAATAAATCAACCAAAATTATTTAGCAAAACTAACCAAAATAATAGTTTTTAGAATTATTGAAGTAAATATTTTATTTAAATTACAAAATATATCTATTTTTCAGGTTGAAAATACTACTGCTGAAACAAAAAATCTATTTTCTGGTTCAGAAATTCTTGTTCTGGGAAAGGTGAAACCAAATAGTACAGTTTCTGGAGTCCTCTCGGCTATGACAGCAGAAGGCAGGAGAATGTTACAAATGCCAATAGACTATTTGTTTTTGCCTCCAATAGAGCACAAGCCAAATCAAACTAAAATAGGTAAAATGTTTTTGAAAAATGTATAATTGCATATATTCTTCCCATTGACAACAGAATACCTTTAAAAGACGTCTATATTTAAAACCTATAATCAAACAATAAATAAATTAGAACGATTCAGTATAGGATTACTTGATGATGATAATAATAGTGATTTTATTTTGAATGTTTTTCATATTAAAATATACTGGCAAGTGAGCAAATGGCATTTCTTTATATTATATAGAACGGATTGTTTATTATAACAAAAACTAATCTTTGAATCCCTATTTTTTTCATTTAAGGAATTGTAATGCGACCAATTCCAATACTGATATCTATTACAAAATCTTACATACAACAGCATTATCATAAATTACATGTTATATAAACCAGGGAACAGTACAAACCGTTGACTTGTCAATATCAAAGTAGAACGTTTAGAAAAGCTTCATAAAACCAAACCCTACAAGAATAAAATATGTCTGAAATTTCAATTCCAATAATCAACACTGATTCATTAAGACATCATCAATTACTTCTATTTTCTTTGAGCTCCAAAAAATTAACTTGGTACTAATTAGGCAATAAATAATATCAAATAAAGCAACTTAATGAGTGTCAAATCACAGGATGTGTTCCCATCCAAAGATTTTTGCCTCAATTATACAGGAATGGACTAGAAACAGACACTGGAGGCAACTCACACCAACCAGGAGTAGGACTGATGTGGTATACGATACCACATCTCGCGGACAAAGATCTTCATGGTCTGTAGCGCCAACCAAAAAAAAAAAAATTGTGTGTGTAATATATGTATACTATTAGTACACATATAAAAATATATGTGTTTGTGTGTAAATATATATTGATTAATTGTTATCATCAATTTTAGGTTATTTAGAAAAAATGTGGGCTTATAAAACAATTAAGTCTCTTCTTGATCAAAACACTGTATCAGAAAATGATACTTTAAAAGAAAAGGCAAAAGAACTAGCACTGAAGGTATGTACAACATAAATTGTAATCCATTTGGTAAACTTAATAAATTGTAGTTTGCTACCCATTGGTATAGAAAATTTATTCCTATTTATTAACAGAAAACTAGAGAGAGAGAGAGAAATACTTTATTGAAAGGAATGCTGCCCTACTACATAGGGTTGCTTTTTACACAGCATACTATTCAATCCATAAGACATAACTATTACATTAAATTTTTCTATCATTTTATATATACAGGGTGTTTCAGAGTTAAGTGGCCAAACTACAAAAATGAACTAAGGACCTCAAAACAAGAAAAAAATTTCCTCTGAAGGTATGTTTGCAAACACTTTGTTTAAGAAATATTCACGCCTAAAGTATATATAGGCATAAACAACATTTAATATGAATTTAATGTTTATGTTTAATTAATAAAGTAGTTGGAACAAATAAATAAGTGCTATTTACTTAATATAATGTAAATAATTCATAACAATGAAAATCTTTAGGTGTGAATATCTCCTAAACAAAGTGTTTGTGGACATTTTTTCAAATGAAATTGTTTTCTTGTTTTGAGGCCCTTAGTTCATATTTTCAGTCTGGCCACTTAACCATGAAACACCTTATATATATATGTATATAGGTATATATGAATATATACATATATATTTTTTTCTTCCTTTACATAACACTAATCCAATAAAGTATCACCAATATTACCGGTATTATACCGGTAGTAAGTATCACCGGTATTACACCAAGTTGAAGTGGCTCTATCCATCCAACCGCCATCTGTACTTCCTTGCTATTATATTTTATTTATTTTATTTTCCTTCCTACCCTGCCTTTAAGACAATACGGGAGTTTGCAGCAGTGACTTGATACACATTGTATAACAAATCACTGTTGCATGTTTATCTATTTACATTTTTAAATTGCTGTGCACACAGCCTGCTTGATAATTTTGTCACTTAGTTATTGTTCTCCATCTTCTTCTCCTGTCCTAATTAGCGGCCTTCCAGGTACTGCTTCTTCACGCCTTCCCAGGGAGAAGTGGGTTGGGCCCACAGTTTTTTTCCAGCCGCATACGAAACTTTTAAAGTGCGGGTAGTTTTGTTCAGACATTAGTTGGGGTAATTGTCCTTCTGTAAGAACGAAAAGCCCTGTATCCCTCATTAATTTGGCCCTCAGTGCCTCATAGCTGGTGCAGGCTACAAGCATGTGCTCAGCGGTTTCAGGTACTCCACAAGTGGGGCATAAGGGGTCGATATTTTTACCGTGTTTAAAAAGTTTTGCTCTGAAACCCCCATGCCCCGTGAGGATCTGTGAGATCCAGTAGTCCGGGAGGACCCATTTCTTTTCTAAGCGCGATTTAATGGTGGGAAAGAATTTTCTTAGTGTGGACCCGTTTGGGGTTGTCACCCATCGCCGATTCCATTGTTCCAATGTATCCTCCCGGAGGATCATCTTCCATCTTCTGGGGTCATCACAAATCCTCTCCCGAATGTTTGCTGGTAAATCCGCCAAGTCATCCCTCTTAATGTTGTACCGATAAAGGTCTTCCCGCAGAAGGAGGTCGAGAGGAATACCTCCTCCTAAGACCTGCACCGCCTCATGGGACACAGTTCTGTATGACCTGGTTACTCTAAGCAGGGCCATCCGCTGGATTGTTGCCAACTTGCGCTTCTGACAGTACGAGAGATTCCGGTTCCATGCGGGGGACGCGTATCTCAGGATACCAACAACTACTCCTTTATAAATGGACATAGTTGCTGGATATCTAAGGCCCCAAAAGGCCCCCCCTATGCGACTGAGACCATTAAGGGCTAAGGTTATCCTATTCCTTAAGTAATCCAAGTGAGGCGTCACGTTGAATTTTTTCCCAATCCTAATTCCAAGATAGGTGACTACCTCACTTGGACATATTCTGGAACCTTGTATCACCAAGGTTATGGGGTGTGCCCTATCGGTCGAACCTCTCAAGAGGATGGCCTCTGTACTTCCTTGCTACCTTTCTATACCAAGCCATCAGAACTCAGCGACCTTCCTATATTTTTCACAGCCTACAATTTAAATATTCCATTCAATCCCATCCCACTAGATCCCATACTTCTGACCTCTATCCAACTCCTCACCAAACTGCTGCTCCTTTATAATTCAAGCCGACTCCATCTGGAATACCATCCCTACCGATATCTGACATGTGCAATCAGTTTCCTCATTTAAATTTCTCCTTTTTAAGCACCTACTTCTTTCCCAACCCGATTGATCATGAAAAGTAGATAAGAGAACTTTTTAAGTTCCTCCAGAAATGGTTCTGTTTAATTATGTTATTTTATTTTCACATGTTTGTATTGTGTACATCTGTATGTATTTAGTGTTTTTGTTTTATTTTTCTTCCAATATTTTTATTTTAATGAGCATTGTAAATATTTAATTTAATTTTATGGCCACACAGGCATTTCCTCTGTATCAATAATTTGTCCTAAAGGGACAAAAGTCCCAGGATAATAAAAATCTATTTTCATTTCATTTCAATAAATCAAATAAAGTTATTAACATTGCATAACATATATAATGATGTAGAGATGGTTGACCATTGAAATAATATGAGAAGGAGTTAATCGGGGGGTGCGGTCAAATAAATACTAAATTAAAATATAGTAATTATTTAATTTTTGCCGACGTTTCAACCCACTTTGCAGGTCGTCTTCAGGGCGTAGGATGTAGCACTGCAGGAGGCAGTTGAAACACTGGCCAACATCCTACGCCCTGAAGAGGACCTGCAAAGTGGGTCGAAACGTCGGCAAAAATTAAATAATTACTATATTTTAATTTAGTATTTATTTGACCGCACCCCCCCCCCCCCCGATTAACTCCTTCTCATGACATATATAATTCCTCCCTCCTTCCCCCTCCCCCCAAAAAATCCAAATACCAGCCAATATTTCAATGCTAAATTGCACACATATATACCAAAGTAATTCCACAAATATAGGTAAAAAGATAAGACGATGCTATAAAAATTTTAATTGAATAAATAATTAATAAAAGACATCCTAAAGTACCATATTAATGATTGTGGTTGATCCCCAGGGTGTAAGTAACCTGTTAAAGTTAAATGTAAATAATTTGTTTTGGCAGGAATTGCGAATAGCCTTCTGCTTTTATCGGGGAACTAGGTTATTTACACTCGTGAATATTAAAACAAAATCCTGGCACTGGATATAGACTTTTTGAGGGTGTTTAACTGTTGTTGGGAATTCGGGAATCTAATACCTTTTGTGACACTGCGGGACAAGAAACAATAACAACATATATATATATATATATATATATATATATATATATATATATATATATATATATATATATATATATAATGTGGTACTGAGTAAATACACTTTGAATGAATTGAATCACCTTGTTTATTATTCTTCAATTGTGAGGCCTATAGGAAAACTAAATAAAAGGACTATTCACTCATGTCTAACAAAACAATTTATTTTAACAACTGATAATAAATGAATATATTAAAGTCGTATAACCCTAGGCTTGATATTCTTAGTCTTCAATGTCCTGCCTCTCTCTTCTGACAACCTCGTTTCTTCCTGTCCCAGCATAAAGTCCTCTCACCTCCGTGTCTCAGCCTCAAGTGCTCTTCTCTCCATCGGCGTCCTCCTGCAGCTTCTGCTACCTGGTCTATTCTTTTTCCAGCGTCCTTCTTCATCAATTGTTTATCGATATGGGACTTTTCAATGAATAATTTGTCCACTGTATAATTGAGTACAATTCATCGTGCAACCTCACATTCCTATATATTCCTTCTCATTCCCTAACACAATGTCACATAAAGGAGTAAATACTGGAGGATGTCTATTACAAGGGAGTCCAGAATAATATTCTCTGCAATATTGGAAGCTTCCCAACATTAACACCTAGTTCCTCAAGAAAGCACCTTGTTCTTCTTTTAATCATTCCGTGAGACCCAAACCAGAGGCCTCTCACAGTGAACTCTATCTCTCTCTCTCTCTCTCTGAAGGTCTCGCAGAATTTTTCTTTTAGGAAAGGGATATATTTGTCATATATGAATCGTGCATTTCCAAAACGTTGTAAGTGCCAAAAGTAAAATTTTATGAGAAGAAGGAAAAACATATTTTGCAAAGAAAAAACTGCAAAAAAAAAAAAAAAAAATTGCAACAAAAAATTTGAAAAAAAAAAAAAAAGATAGGCTCACCACTATGCAGAAAAACTGTATTGTCATAGAAAGATATGGCATTTACAACCTGTTTTAGATTTAAAAGTAATATTTTCAAATTTTGGCATTTACAACGTTTTGAAAATGCACGATTCATGTGTTCTTCTTTTCCCTTTCCACTTCACCCACCTGATCGAGGTTATTGCCCTCAAAGTAGACACTTACATCCAAGATCAGATCAATGCTGTCCCTCCTGTCTATGCAATACACCTCGTCAAAGCAGGTGAATTCCTATTCTCTGAGGAGCCTCATCGCCTCGAATATTCTCAATATTCGATAGTCAATATTTAATATAAAAATTAAATGAATTTTGCAATCTGCGAATTTCTTTATAAAAAGCAAAATTAATTATTCTCAAATGGTTTGTAACTTTTCTTATTCCTAACAAGTGTCAGGCATCACCTTCCAGATCACTGCCCCGGAGCAATTGTCCATGTTACAAGGCTCTCATAAGCCCGACACTGGTTATAATAACCAAATTAGAAAACTACAGCCCAAAATAAGATGAGAAGAGGCAGGCTGAATAAGATGGCAAATGATCATAAAAATATATATTCGAAAAATCTATATCTGCTACATCAAATTCCACTATTATTAGTCCTCATTTAACCCATGACATATATCAGTACAATTTCTATTTTCTGTTTTGTATCATTGCTCCAACCAACTCATTTACTTTAATATGTTCTTATCTATGTAAAATATATCTTTTCAATTGGTAATATTTTATTACAGTACAAGTTTGTTACTCCACTGACTTCACTGGTCGTGGTCAAACCAAATGTAACCTCCGTGGTGGATGATAATAAAGAAGGTAAGCTTTTTTCTTATTCATTCTTCAGTGATAATCAATTATCGCTCTAATTTTGACTTGTTAATATTGAATGATCATTTCAACCAGAAGATAATATATTTGTTGTAAGTGAAGAAGTTAGGAAGGAACCAAAGTTTAACACAGACCACAGAAGTTGAGGATTGGTCGACTAATCCGAAGTTTTATGAAAATTTAATTTGATATGTTACAAACTATGTCAAGTCATGATGCTAATACATTTTTAAAATCTGTCCCTAATTGAGCCTAAAATGCAGAAATGTAAGATTCACCTTCAAAACTGATCTAAAGCAGTTTCACCATAAATAGAGTTTTTTTTTAAATTCAAAGCTTGAAGCTTCAAAGTTCAAAATTAATTAGTTTAACTTTACTATAAGTAAAATACTGAAATTTTCCTTATTTTTTTTTTGTTTGTTGCAGATAATAAGTATCAGTATCCAATCTATGGTGGATTTGGTAAGTTTTAATGTCAGTTTATATAAATTGGTGTAGGTTATTGTATTGGTATGGACAGGATGTATGATAGAGAAATATGCTCATGATATTGCAAATACAAGATTGTGATGGCGGAGCCTGTTAAAGCATTGCTCCTTTTAACATTCTCATTTCTGGTCTGGGTGGGTTAAAATTTATTTTGTGATGGACCTTTGTAATGAATCTCAACCTTCCCACTCTGGTTAGAATAAGATTGATTGTACCTCTAAATCAATTGAGTGCTGAAATGATTTTGGTCAATGAGGTTTGGATGTAATGCATTGTGAACTCATCATTAAAACAAAAAAAAATCAGTAAAAAAACTGGATTGAACTGGTTTTGAAAATAATCATCTCGTTATTCTTTTTCTGCCTAACAATGATGTATTTTCTCAAGTTTTACAATCAAATCTACCATGCATCTAGAGAAACATAATTTTTAAATTCTATATTGCTGATTATTTTTCACTTTTCAATATAATTGTTCTTTTGTTTTTCTCTGAATCTGAAAATAAGTAAATGCTGAAACATTTTTGTTTCAGTTTTATTTGGCTGGTTTTAACATATGTTAGTTTATTAACTACTCTTCTTCTCCTTCTATAGCTCCACAACTCATTGGATAGCGAAGGCTTCCCTCAGTCGGAGCCGCCAATCTTCTCTGTTTTGTGCTGCTTCTTTCCAATTTCTTATACCCAACAGCCTCTGAGCATCTACTGCTACGCAATCCACCCAATGTAGACGAGGTCTTCTAGTTCTCCTACATCTGAATATTTTTTCTTCTAGAATTGATTTGGATACTTCATTACTATTCATGCGTGCAATATGTCCAGTTCATCTTAGACATCCAACCTTTATTAAATGGATGATATTAAGGTCATTGCAGAGATTCATAAGCTCAGCGTTTTTCCTCAACCTCCTTACACCATTGACAAGCATAGACCCCATAATTGTTCACCTGCAATCCAAATTTAATAGCTGCTTTTTGCAAATTTAGGAAGGCGCTCTCCATACTCCAAAAATTGTGCCCTACGACATCCAAATCGTCAACATAAGCAAGAATTTGCCACAATTTGTTGAAAATCATCCCTCCTATTTGGATTTCCGACTCTCTCATGGAACATTCCAATGCAACATTAAACACCAAGCTTAAACATATTAAACGATCATCTTGTCTGAGTCACTTGTGGCTGGCTTAGACATCTTATTACCAGAGTGCGCCCTCGGTGCAGTGGGTGAGTGCTACTCGTAGCTGGCACAGATTATATTTTATCTATTAGATCTTATTTGTTTACTATTACGAGACAATTGGGCACAATAGGTCCGCACAAAACACTTGGAATAATATATATTCAAGTAAGAATTGTCATATTTTATTAATTTATGTACCCTGTGTTGTCTCTGTTTGGTCCAAACTTCTGTTAGTCTGTAGTTAATGCTTCCGATTTCCTTTCAGTTCTGTCTGAATATGTCAGTGACAAATGCTATTAATTGGTCAATTTTGCATAACTTTTTAATGCATACAAAATCTTTTTTTTTTTCTATCTGTATTAGAATCTAGTGTTATTTTTTATATATATTGACGAGTACATCGCAAAAATTAAAATTATTTAAAAAATAGAATGAACCACATATTTTTAATTTTTTGAACTAGATTTTCTTTTTAATTTATTGCTTTTCAATAACAAAAAGTCACGTTTTAGGTTTCTATTTCTGAATATGTGTGAGTCAAAGTTTGATGAGAAAAGCTCAAAACCATACTTCATAATAAATTTTTATATGCTTGCTTTCTAGATGACTGTCAATGTGTGTGTGTGTGTGTATGTGCTTATAATAATATAAAAAAATTGAGGTAGAGTTTTTAAAGAACACAGCAATAAAAACAATTTTCAATCATATTATGACTAATTAGTAAATTAATTTTTTTAATAAACTGTAATTGAGAAAATAGTGCTAAATTATTTTAAGAAACTTCATTATGTAGACAAATAATTATTATTATGAATTTGCAAATTAAATGATAAGTGAATGATGAAATTTTTCATAAATTTCCATTATTACTTTGCTTTCATCAATAATATTTAATGGGCAAATTTACTAATTCTTTGAAATTAGATTTAGAGATATTTATTAGTTCTGCATTTCAGGCAGCCAAATAATTTAGTATAAAATGATCCAAATATATCTTCAGAGATTTTTCTATTGCCAACACAATATTTTAGCTCTAAACAGTAAAAAGTATGTGGATTAGGACTGATCTTAATACATCTCTATATTTCGAAATATTCCACTAACAAAGCATGCAGTTTATTAAACTATTTTTGCGATCCAGACACTCTCAGTAACTGATAAACATGAATGTATTTTTTATTTATGTTTTTAATTATACTAGAATTCGCCAAGTGGTCGAAATCATTTTTGGACATTTGAAAATAACATAAATGAATTTACATGTTTCCAACATTTCTTTTTTCTTTCTCTTATAAAGGGTGTTCCGTAATTAGAGGGAAATATTTAAAAGGTTGATAGAATATATAAAGATTTTCAAAAAAAGCTCATATAAACAATTGCCAAATTTCCAGCAGAAAAGTAGGAAATTGAGGACTTGTATTTTTTTAAGAGATTCACGTTTATTGTTGAATAGGAAGCAATAATATAAAAAATATTTGCTTAAAGTAATTAAATGTTGCTATTTATTTTCACGATACTAAAATAAAATACACCCGGTGGATGGGATTATGTAAGCAGTGATCGGACATTTAACATCCGTTATTGCTAAGCCTTTATCATTATTACCACTATATTCATCTCTCCTTCTCTATTTAAACATGGTGTAATAGGTTATTAGCAGAGGAAAAGGGAAGGCACCCGATAAAATCTTGGCCTGGGCAATGAAAACCCATGCAATGGCCCTGGTCCCACCTAAGGGATTCTAGGAACTAATAATAAAGCTTATTAAACGAGAAAGTTTTTCAAAAAGTGGGGTAAACAGAGTACAACTGAAGGGTGATAAAAAAAAATCACAAATAATTTATGAATATTTATCCTCTTTAAATAGTTTTAACAATGACAAACTCTACTTTCATTTGAAGAAAATTTTGTCTAGTTTACTATGAAGCAATGTTTAATTACTTAAATCAAATATTATTTTAGTTATCGTTTCCTATTCAACAAAAAACGTGATTCGCTTAAAAAAAAACACAATTCTTAAATTTCCTACTTTTCTGCTGGAAATTGGGCAACTGTTAGTATGAACTTTTTGTAGATATTGATGTCTACTATCAACCTTTTAAATATTTACCTCTGTTTACGGAATACTCTGTATGTTCACAATTTACTTTTATATGTACCCTAAATGAAAACAGAGCACTACCATTTGTGTACTCTTTGAGTTATTGGCAAGTAATATTGGAATCCATCGTTAGTTTTTAAAAAAATATTTGAACCCCTTTGCTCATTCAGTAAAAATTTAAGGACAAATTTTGTTATTTTTTTATTGCAATCAAAATTCATATTTGAGAGGGTTTTCTGGGTGCAAAATACAAATCTCAATTGGGTTTCTCCTTTTAAAAAACTTTGAACCCACTAGCTCCTTTGGTTGGTACAAACTGTTTCATTTTAATATAGTACTTATACTATGGCAATATGTTAAATATAAATTTGGCATAATACAGCTCTTCTAAAAAGTATTTTATATTTTATAATATAAATTGTAATAGAACTATCCAGATAAAACTTAAAAAAAAAAGTCAATAAAACTATTATTGGACATGATACTTTTTGATTTAATGAACCAAAAACTGTACTTTTTGAGTTATTCATGAATAAAATTCTGAATCCATTGTTACTTTTGTTTTCAGTCTTTTTTCGGGGAAGTATACATAAATTAAAAGAGCTCAAGGAGATAAATTAGCCAAGTATCATTAAAATCGTTAGTGATTTTGGAGCTATAACGCATAGCGACACACTTTTTTCGGCCACCATTTCAAAACGAAGGGCTGGATTGTAATAAAATGAATATAAAACATTCCTGAATTTTGTTGCAACATTATATAAAAATTTTGAAATAATCGGTAATGAACTTCCGGAAATTAACTGTTTTGATCAAACCAACATACAGTTTTATTTATATACTAGTCCAGTCAATGAATGTCCAAAAAGGGAGTGTAGAGAGTGTGAGCAGAGACCTCAGTGATTCCTTCAGAAACTTGTTCAGAGAGCTTAGGGTATGAAGATATCAAAAGTTCTAATATCTAGGTGGTGAGTCAGAGTGAGGGGAGGGAAGAGTTTTTAGATTTTTGCTTGTAACTCAAAAAAGGTGCATCGCAGGGGTAATTTTTTGTATAGTAAATTAAAGTTTATACCTAAAACTATTAGTTTATGCCTAAAACTTTTATTCTGTAGATTTTATCCGAATTCTAAACCGTTTTTAAACTACACGCTCGGAAAAATATGACATTTTCGAAAAAAATTATTTTGCCTCTAAAAAAAATGCAAATAATTGGAGGAAAAAGTTGTTCTTCTGTAAGCACATATTGCCTTCTTCCTCAGTACTTATATATGGCATAGTTATAGGTTTATAGTAACGTTTTTGGTAAAACTTTTGTTTGTTTGTCTAACAATATGTATAGACATGTGTGCGTGTGCGCGTTTGTGTACATGTATTTATAAAATTATATTGAAAAACAGGTCAGTTCCTTTTATCCTCTGTTTAAATATATATATATATATATATATATATATATATATAATTTTATTTTTTTAAGGACCAGCAGTAGGAGGTGGATCTTCACAAGTTTTGATGGCTGGTAATTATTATTATTATTATTATTATTACTATTTATACAAATGAGAATCAAATTTTGGCAACAAGATTTTTTACATTTACTTCAGTTATTAACATTGCTTTAATAAAGTCAGAAGATTCTGCACATATTATAATTATATTTATATATAAAAGAGTTTGAGAAATTTAAATGCTATTAATGTGTTTTTGTTTTGATAAATAAGACCAAAATAAACAAAAAAAAAAGTTACTCAGTAGTTTTTTGCAACAAACTGAGAATATGTTAATTTAGTGCAAAGAGATAGGTAAGCATTCATTTCATCAAGAGAAATGTTTTACAAAACTTCTATATATTATTCATAATTATAATATTTATAATATTCATTCATTGGCTAATTATTCATTTTTATAATATTCCTTTCTAACTGTTATAATTAAATTATATATTTCCAATAGGTCCTCCAATGGCATCCTCTGGTTTTGGTAAGTACTTTAATTTATATTATACAAAATCTGTTTGATAATGTAATTTGAATCAATATTAACTTAAATGGTAATCATGCCTGTCTTCTTTCAACACTGAATTTTGTCAGTAATAAATAACATAAGAATTTAAATGAAATTTATTAAATCCCATTTTTTTATAAAATAAAATTTAAATCTCTCTGATTCATGAAAAATCATATTTAAATTATTTGACCAGGACTTGGAGAGTATAGTGGCTTGTCCAATTAGTGACCCTTATTAAAATTATTTGTACAATAAACAGAAAACTGTCACAGCTCCATTGTGAAATCAATTGACCACATTGCGTAAATTAACTATATTTTAATTTTTAAGCTCTAAGAAATATTTTAAGCTCTTAAACAGCACTAAAAAAGTTAACATATAAATTCAAAGTTTTTTTGTTTTTTTTTAGAAAATTAATATGAAATAACAAAATTTGTTTATGTATGATAACGTTTATTCTTATAGGTTTCAGACAAAGTCAATCAAAAAATGTTTTGTGATAATATTACATGCCTTACTGGCTTTTAGATTTAATTTACTAAGCTCAATGTATATTTATGGATCAACAGGTGGAGGCGGTTACGCTGGTATGGCTGCTATGCCCATTGCACCAATGGCACCACCAAGTATGTCAGGAGGAGTACCAACCAGATTACATTTTCAGCAAAATTTTTATACCACCACAATGCCTCAAAGTGTAACAGGTATTAACGCAAATTGTCTTTTTTATATCTTACCTTAAATGTAAGATAAAAAAAAAACAACTCTTGACTTTTTGACTTACCAATCATAATTTATGTTTCTGATTTTTAGCAGATAATGGCTCTGTTATTCCATATACGAATGTGACATGGCTCAACCAGACAATATCTGATGATGGTCTTTATGTACAGCCTCCTCCTGAAGTAGATATAAATGATGTCATCGCATTGAATGAGGTCATTTACTAAAAAAACTCCTTATATTTTAATAAACTAAATTTATTATTTGTTTTTTCAAAAATTAAGGTCATTTGTACACCAATGTTTTATAACTTTTACAATATGTAGTTCTATCACATGACCTTTCAGCTAGCATTTGGGTCATTTTCAAGTATTATTCTGTCATCTCTCGTCAAATCCAAAGTTATAATAATAAAGAGAAGAGTAGTTGGGGTGTGAACACCCCAACTATTCTTCTCTTCATTATCCACGACAGTCAACCAATTACCAATTATTAAGTTATAATAATAATAATAAAAGGCTTAGCGAACCCGAAGGTTCGATGCTGACACCACCAATCGCTTATTACACACCTCCCTCCACCGTTCGCCGTCCAAACCCAGTCCCTTCAGATCGCCGGAATATAAACTTCTTCCCTTCCTACCTTTGCGTTCGCGTCACCTACAATTATTTTCATGTAGTTTTGCGGTAGTTTATCATAAACCCATTCGAGTTTATCGTAAAATTCACTATTGACTTCATCGTCACTGTCTTCGGTCGGACAATGTATGTTTATTAATGCGATCAAATCCATAGTTACTATTCTTTTTTTCTTTTCTTTTGCTAAGAAAGCCCTTATTATCAATTTTCATATAGGCTCCATAAAAGCTAGACACCATAAAAGTAATGGAACATTGGTGAACAAATGGCCTTAATTTATGAAAAGAAAAAGAATTTTATGACACCAGAGATTATAAAAGTGAATAACATCATAAATTTATTTCAGGCATTTCTGGTTATAAATTAGAACTAAATGAATTTACAAATACTTTGGGTGATTTGAAATAAAAATTTGTATTTTTAACATGTAAAAAATAGGATCCATCTTAATCTTATGTGGGATAGATTTAGACAGCTGGCCTATAGTTGTTCAGTTTTTAAACACACAAAACAAAAAATCAACTGAAAAATTCTATACTATACAATCAGAATTGCATAAACTATTTTGATCGCTTGTTCATAATTTCTATAATATAAAGTATGAAATTATGGAAAGTAAAATCAATAGAAAGTTCTAAACAATATAAGTTAACAAGAAATGACTATTAATAAAATGCTATGAATTATTTTAAACTATACATGTAATTAACGGTTAGTGGCCTCTAGTTTTAATTTTATAAATATTTATAGACTGACATTTGGACATCAAGATGCAGTAATGGAAACCCTTGCCGCCATTTTATATTCTGTTCATTAGATTCTTTTGCTGATGACTTCCAAGATTATCTTCCGTATAAATGCCATATTGAACCAAGGTGATGATTTTTAAAAACAATTTAGTAAATGTGCTAGTATATTTTTGAAATAATATGAAATCAATCTATATAATTTTGTTTTTCAGGTTTCTTGGAGTATGTTGCCCAGTTTGATTTTGAAGCTTTATTACTATTAAGTTATTACATTGTAAAAATTCATAATACAGAATTTCAATAAAAACTATTGAAATCCTAGTTTGTGTTATTATAACCCTAGATATTTTAAATAATTATTCTCTGTTAACTATTCCCAACATTAATTACTGTTCATTCTGTACCATTAATGTACTTAAATCCTCTTTTCAATGAGGAACTCAGATCTCTTCACAAATCCAGTACATCAAACTCTTTATGGAAAACATTAATTTTTCATTTTTTCCTTAAAAATAACTATTTACTAGCCACCATCAGATTACTACTTATTTAGATCCATGGTCCATTTTATTCAAGTGGGATCGAGCATTGGCTAGCAGATGACGGTAATAACAATGACGGTAGATAACAATGGATTATATTTTTTTTTTTTTTTTTTTTTTTTTTTTTTTTTTTTTTTTTTTTTTTTTTTTTATACATGATATTTACAACTGTATTAAAAAATTAAATACATTAAGTAAATTTGATAACAGAAAATAAAAACATGAAATAACTTGTTGAGAAACTACCCACTGGTAGCACTCTAAAAACAAAATGTATTTACAATAAGAGATCTCGAGGCCATTTTCTTTTCAGACGCCTCGGAGTGTTATCAGGAATAGAAGAGGAAGCAAGGTTAGAGACGAGAGGATTCGGATGGTTCTGAAGTTTATTATGGAAAGATTGGTATCTGGATTGGGCCAAATCGGAAACATAAGGAACATTAAGGTCATTATGGATTATTTTATTGGTGACAAAGTAAGGAGCATTGAGGATTTTCCGAAGGATTTTGGATTGTAAGGATTGGATACGAGAGGAATTTGATGGCTTAGTGGAGCCCCAAAGCTCAACTCCGTAAGTCCAAATAGGTCTTATTGTAGTCATGTATATAAGTCTTTTGTAATTTACTGGAAGCTTAGAGCGTTTGTCTAGTAAGTGTTGGAGTAGTCGGAAACGTCGAGCGGTTTCTTGTCGTTTCAGTCTGGTATGAGGATTCCAAGTTAGACGTTTGTCCAAGTGAAGTCCAAGGTATCGGATTTGTTCAACAGGGATAAGTGGGGTATTATTAAAGGATACTGTGGGACATGAGGTCATAGGTTTACGTCGAAGGGTAAAGGTGATTTGATGGGATTTATTAGAATTTATTTTAATCCTCCAGTTTTTACACCATTCTTCAAGGCTTGTGATGTGCGATTGAAGAGTTTGGGATGCAATGGTTGGGTCATTATTAACGGATAGGACACATGTATCATCGGCATACGTGGTAATAACAGTGTTAGGATGGGTTGGGATGTCAGCTGTATAAACTGTGTAAAGGATAGGACCAAGGATACTACCTTGAGGAACACCAGCGGACTGGGAAAAGAGGGATGAATAAGCATTATTGTGATTGACTTTTGAGTATCTATCAGTTAGATAGGAACGGATAATGAGGAAGTATGTAGGATGTAGGAATTTACGGAGTTTGTAAAGTAATCCCGGGTGCCAGACTCGATCAAAAGCCTGTTCTACATCGAGAAAGACTCCCGTGCAGTACATTCCGCGCTCTAATGCAGAGGAGACAACATCCACCACACGATGGCATTGCTGGATAGTGGAATGGGATCTGCGGAATCCAAACTGGTGATCTGGGATTATGTGATTAGAATCTAGGATTGGGTACAGGCGTTTTAGGATGAGTTTTTCTAGGACTTTTCCCATGATGGGTAAAAGAGAGATAGGACGGTAAGAGGATGGGTATTCTGGTGGCTTTTTGGGTTTATGTATCATTTTGATAATGGATAGTTTCCAAGGGTCGGGAAAATATGTTGATCGGAGTACAGCATTATATATATATGTAAGGAATAGAATGGCTTTCCGAGGAAGTAGTTTTAGGATCTGGGATGTAATTAGGTCGTGTCCAGGAGCTTTGCGGGAAGGTAACCTGTGAATGATGTTGGATATTTCTGAAGGATGAAAGGCTTTAGGAGGAGGAGTCATTTGGAGTGGGATATCCAGTTCTGCTTCAATACATTCAAGGTGATTTGGGTTAAGAATATCGGGATGTGGATTAAAGGTTTTAAAGAGGTGGTGGGCAAATATTTGGGATTTTTCTTCGTCGGATTTGGACCAGGTTTGGGCTTCAGTGAGTAGTGGATGGTTGCAGTCCTTAAATTTCAGGAGCCTTTTAGTGGTCGTCCATAGTGATTTATCGGTAGGTGTAAGTTTTTCAGTAAAATTTAGTAAATTTTGAATTTTGTATTTTCTTATTTCTGATTTCAGTTTGTTAGTCAGTTGGGTGTAATGCGCTTTATCTGTCGGGTATCTAGTTCGATGCCACTTCGATCTTGCTCTGCGTTTTTCCTTTAATAAGATGCGAATATGCTGTGGCAAGTTAGTATTTTGTGGTTTGTTAATCTTATTGATAAAGGTATTATTATTTATACTGTCTGTTATTGTTGATGTCAGTTTTTCTATGGCACCATTAATGTCTTCTTTTGTCTTTAGCGGAATTTTGAGGTCAAGTTTGTTTTCCAAATCATCACGAAATTTGTCCCAGTTTACTCGTCCAGTGATCAGTTTGGGAGGTGATGGTTTAGGAGCAAAGTCAGAATGTAATGAAAGCAGAACCGGACTATGGTCTGAAGAAAGGTCATCCAGGGATTTGATTATAGTTTGGGAGGAGGAAATCTGGGAGGTGATAAATATATCCAGGATATCGGGACGTTTTTTGAGGGATGTTGGCCAATAAGTAGGACTCATGGGCGAGAGGATTGAATAACTATTAGAAGATGAGAGACGGGAAAGGATGTTACCGCGGGAGTTGGATGTTCGACAACCCCACCGTTGGTGTTTAGCATTGTAATCTCCTCCAGCAATAAAGCGCGATCCGAGGGATTGGAACAACGTATCAAGGAGATTAAAGGAGAGGGAATTACCAGGAGGACAGTATACAGCTGAGACTGTGAAATGGAAAGGGCGAGTTGAAAGGATTAAAGAAGTTGATTGAATGGCGTCAGTTGGAGTGGAAGGAATAAGGGAATGGGGTAAAGATTTATGTATAAGGATGCAAGAACCGGCGTGGGCAGTGTTGTCTGGATGGTCAGATCTATAAGTGATGTAGTCTCGTATGTGAAAATGTGTCCGTTTTGTGAAATGCGTTTCAGTCAGTAGAGCTATATCAATGTGATTGTCATGAAGGAATATGTCAAGTTCGTCACGGTGGTTGTGTAGTCCGTTAGCATTCCATAAAAGGATAGTTAGGGGCTTTGTGCTCATCGAGGGAAATTAAACGGAATTTCGGTCAGGATTCTGGTTAGTAGAGTGATAAGAGGTTTTATGGTGTTTTGGAGGTCCAATAGGAAGGATGATAGAATGGAAGTTAGATCAGATGGATGTTGATTGTGAAGTGGATTTAGGATAGGTTCAGGTGGCGGGTAAGGAGTGTTAACTGAGAGTGGGATTCGTTGTTGTGTACGAGGTGGGACTGGATTCGACGATACTTGTGCTGGGTTTTTTTTCTGGGCATTAGGATGAGATGGGTGCGATTGCTGTGGCGGTAATTTGACTCGTAGAGGTAGATGATGAGGGGGAATTTGCTGACGCGGAGGATGAAATATGAGAGGATTGGGAGTATGAGGTTTAGCTTGGGAGGCCTGAGGCGCCTGGCGTCGAGGCTGCTGCTTCTTGATGGTGGTATGGGTGCTAGTTTTGGTAGATTCCTGTTGAGGATGGGCGATTTCAGTTGAAGTAGTTGGTTCTTGTTGTGTTGAATGGGTAGTTTGTTTTGGCAACTCAGGAAAATTTGTAATATCAATTTCTGGTGGCTGGGTGTAAGTTTCTTTATTTAGTTGGCTGCACTTTAAGGCTATGTTATGAGTTCTTAACTTGTAGTATTTTTTATATACTATGCATCCTTTATAGCTTGCAGGATGGTCTTCGCCACAGAGAGCACATTTAGGAGGCTGGTCTCGAGGGATTTGACAAGTGTTAGATGCGTGTGGCCCGGCACATCTAACGCACCTCGCTTGATGATGGCAATAGGTCTTTGTGTGCCCCAAGTCTTGACACTTGGAGCATTGAACTATGACAGGTTTTTGTCTAGGCTCTTCGAATTTTACTGTGGAATACACAAGCCTCTTAACTTGAAATATGTCAATGTTATTGCTTGCAGGCTCCAAATCAACGAAAAACAGTGGCAATGGATATTTTTGCGTTGGATGTAGGACGCATGCTATATGCCTAACGTTATGTCCTATTTCCTCTAGATCAGATTTGATAACGGATATGGGAGTGGTTGAGTGCAAGCCTCTCAATACCACCCGATATGCCTTTTCTTGTCTCAGTTGGTAACAGTGAAATTCATATTTTTTAGTTGTAAAATAATTTATCAGAGTTTTATAATTTTCTTTAGAGCTCGTGTTAATCTTAATGTCATTAACCCTAGAAAAACAGCGGAAACTGGTTTGTCCGATAAGATTGGCAATTTCTTGAACGAATGATATAAAATTTTCAATTTTAGAGACAAAAATAGGGGGCGGCTCGGGGTCAGTAAAACCTTGAGGTGCCGGAGGCTTGTTAGGTGAGTTACTACCAAGATCAAAATTATTGCTGGCTGTGGTATTTGCTGCAGTTGGAGCTGTTTTTGTGATGTTTGATTTGCTTCTAGTTCTTGGTGGTGATTTATTTTGCTTGGCAGGCTGTTTAGATTTATTTTGTTCAGCTGTCTGTTTAGATTTTGCTGATTTATTTTTCTTCTTGTTAGGCGAATTGCCACCTGACCCAGGGGCAGAGTTTCTGTTACGTTTTTGAAGCGAGCGTCTTTTCAGATATTGCGAATCAGTTTCGCTAACCTCGGAAAATGGTGTCTCGTCCTCTGAATCTTCACATGAAGATTTCTCGTCCAAATTCATATCTTCCATTATGATAAGAAGAGAAAAGAAAGAAAAAAAAATATATATATACCTAAATATTAAAACTACAAAATAAGAATTTACGATCTA